TTTGACGGATGTCCCGAAGGACTTTGTACCGGCCAGCGCCCGCCCGACAGCTAGCCGGCCTAAGGGCCCTTCGGAGGGGACTTGGCATTAGATGGTTCGGCCAATCTCTGCCCCTATACCCAAGTCCGACAAACGATTTCGCACGTCCGTATTGCTATGAGCCTCCACCATATCTTTCCTTTACCCGATGCCCCGAGGACCTATCCGGGGCAATGCCCCGCAGCTCTCCCGACGGGCGTTCACCCCTTTCTTCCTGCGGCACCCCATATACGTACCCGGCCCAGATTCGTACGGGATTCGCCTTGCGCTTCAGCAGTTCAGGGGCGTACTCACTGAGCTAGGCTCTTGGGTGCCTGCTACACCCACGGCACCGCGCTAAGGCAAAACAACATCGGGCGCGGCTCCAGCGTAGCTTCAAAAACAGTTCGTAATTGCACTTCAGGCGCCTCGCAAATACAACACACTCCACGCGACCCTACCGCCATCTCACGTCCCCGAACGGGATGCGATAAAGAGAAACCGACAAGGGAAAAATAAGGTAAAAATAAACCTAGTATTACCGGGGGACAGCGGGGTTGTTGGCACGTCGTCGGTGCCGCAGGTCGGACCCATTGCCGCGCTTGCCAATAAAACCAGAGGGGGATAGCCCCTACCGGGCCCTCACCCCTCGGTTTCCTCCGCGCCGCTCCGCTGTTCCCGCACCGACGCCCGCTGGCCTCGACCCCCAAACCTCCATAGTGTCAGTCCAATGTCGTAACCTATAGGGCTAAGCCCAAGCCTGGTGCCAGCAGAAGCGGAATCCTAGATAAAGTGATAATGCATGGTACTCAGGGCCAAGGAATCGCCCTGGGCCACTTCTCGGCCCGCGCCTGCACACACGGCCGCGGAGAGCTCGAGCCGGTCCCCCGGCCGTGCCGCGGCTATCCCTATCTGGCCGTATCCCTCAGATCCCATCATCTGGATCCACCACATGTCTGTATATGCTCACTGAGCCGTCAACCGTACTAGACAGAAGAGAGGAAAAAAAAGTATTCCTAAATCCTGGTTTAATAAAAAATAAGTAGTATTTATAATAACACAAAACGACCGGTGCATGCGTCGCCTTTACAGCTCTGATCAAAACGAGAAGATCACGCGCGCCTTAAACCTGCACGCCCACACATTCTCTATTCTAGTCAACCATCCTGTCAATGTAAACGGCAGACACTGTCGCAACTCACGCGCTACATTCAAACTTTAAATCTAAACTTAGTTCATGTCACTAGCAAGAACCAGGGCGGATACCCTTGTAAGGGTATTCGCGCCGACACCGTCCACACCCGTGGAGGTGGGGGTACACGATTTCCTCCATCCACTCCTCGCTCGACAATTTTAAACACCCTTTCGACTTTATTTTTTATAAGTTTTTTTCATCCCTCCTCGCGATACTTCCTCGCCGTCGGTCCCGGAGCCAGTTTCCGACCTGGTCAATGGACGGAAAAACGGAAAAAAATAAAAATAAAAATAAAAATAAAAATAAAAATAATCAACAAAATAAATTTAAAAATAATAGAATTTAAGAGAACGAGGATCTGCCGACGCCCTCTTGGTCTTGCCAGTCAAACCCAGGTTTGGGCCCGTCCGGCAAAACCAAGGGGGATAGTCACTTAAGACCCTCAACCCCTCAGTCTCTGCCGATCGCGCTCCTTTGCTTTATCGTCGCTTGCTGTCCTCGAACCCCAAACCTACCGCTTGAAAGTCCCTTATCGTAACCGTTAGGGCAAAGCCCACGTCTGAACTAGGTAGGCGCGAACTCGCATGTGAATAGTTCGCGGGACCGTAATTGGTCCCGCCTGCACAAACCAGGTCTCCGATCTGGCCTACCGGCCAACCTTTTGGCCGTCAGAAGACGCCGAGACACCACCCGCGCCTAGGGTCGTGGCTACCTGGTAGGCTGGTCGTCGGGCGTTCGACATGTTCTGTCAAGCTTTCGACTTCCCCCCCATACCAGGTTTGCCAACGCCGCACCCTTCCATGCATCGCCAAACACATTTTTCCTGCGTGTGCTCAAGGCAGCGTCTTCATCTTCTTTGTGACGTACCCGTGAAAGGCTGAGCCGGCTCGTGGAGTGAAGTTAACTTTTATAAAATAAAAGAAAAATATAACCAATTTGAAAACTACAGAGGGGGTAACTGGATCCTATGACTTTGATGTCTTCGGCCGCCCTGATACCGCCGAGGACTAACGGTCACTTCGCAGTGCAACACAATAATTCGTGCCCCACATACTCTCAAATTCGGTCGTATTTGACTCGGAGTCTTACCAAGAGCGAGGCTGCCGAGATAAGCGCCCTAGCGGGATTTACTTCATCAGCGCATTTCATTAATCAAGGATGCACCCAGTGCGACCTTTAAAAAGGACGACAAATACCCTTGTAAGGGTGTTTGCTACGACAGTCCTCCCAGACCCCATTAAGCGACGTCCCCGTCGCTTTGGGTAAGGAGTAGATAGTTATGAACGAACACACAGGTGAATGCATAGACTGAACAGATGGATAACCAAATCCGCATAATCGAAATGACTCAGCTTGGGGTCTGGTACTCTACTTCTGCGGCGTCCCTATGGCGAGCAGAAGTTCAACATGCGACTCCTGTCTGACTCACAGGGATACTTTCGTTATACTACCGCCCTAGGTTAGCTTCAATGTTCAAATACCAACCCCTTCCGTTTGTCCTAGACGCCTTCCGACTTTCGTTGGGTGCCGTCTGAATCGGGCTGTCAAGTAACCATCATCTTTGGGCGCGGGTTTTAGGCAGGACAACTGCCCTGAGTGGGACAAACTGCAGCACACAACAAGCGCGGGTAGCCCACCCCTTCCGAGTAGCTTAGTAAAACTAAAGCATACTTCTTTTTGGTGGATCATTCTGCAATCGAAATAAGTAGCGTACTCCTTTGGGTGGTTTACCATATAAAAATACACCCCCTCGAGAAGCTCAAACTTATGACAGGCATAGTGCTGCACGTAGCTCACTCCATGCAATTTAAAATCAAGTACTCAGCCCGACCTTGCGTCTAGTCACAGGTGGGTTATAGTCCTGCCGTCAGCCCACCATAGTTTGGTTGATCGGACCAAACCACGGCTCATCGTGCCTTTAAGTCACGATGTTGCCTACATTTCCTACACAATGCTAAGGCGACTCCCTGACCTTTGAACCTAAGTACCCCCTAGCAGTCGCCCTAGTTAGAGCCTTTGGAGTGATCCGATATTTGGCTTAATTTAGCCCTCCCATATGATGATAGTAATAATGATAATAGGGATAATAATAATAATAATAATAATAATAATAAATAATAATAAATAATAATAATAATAATAATAATAATAATAATAATAATAATAAGTAGTAAATATTAATGGTAATCATAATAACCCGCTTATATATACTACTTGCTATGGATGATGGTGCAGGTCACTCCTCTGTCTCTAAGTTCAGGCTAAGCTAGGGGTCCGTTGTCCTGGTTAAGCGGGACAGCAGCCCACGTTGGGGGTTGCCCCAACGATGCCGATTTAGCCCCTGGCTTAGGCCTCCCCAAATACTCTTGAGCCAACTTTCAATGCTTGCAGTCGTTCTGCTTGATCATGGTAAATATGACCGCTGATCCTAGAGCCTCACAAACAAGTTTCTTTTTCGAAGAAACCCCTCATTTTATATGAACATCTTTTCTCAAGCTTGGTTATCCACTGACAGTTTTCTGCAAAAATCAAAGCTTTATTCATCTTCTCGGGACAAGTTATAATCCTAAATTTTTTCTTTCATCCCACATACATAAACAAGTGGCTCCTCAAACGGGCCCCCTCCCCTGAGACATACGGGTGGCTCCTCAAGCGGACCCCCTTCCCATCAAACATTTAAGCTGTCTTTCCGATTCAGCCTTTTTCCATGCGTTTTTGTCGAACAATTTTTCATTGACTCTCACACACTAATTCATATGCAATCAAAGTCATTAAACATTTTGTTCAATAATCGAACAACTTACTCACAACCACAAACAGATACAAACATCACATATGCAAGGGAAGTGAGCACAAGTTCACACTGTGAGAATATTTCATGGCTCCCTGTTTCCTCACAAGACTCATGAGTCTGAATCAAGTCTGTAACACATCTGCGCAATACGCTCTGAATCTCGGTATCAATCATGAAGAAATCGAATGTCTCAAATGGGTATCATAACCTGATTATCCGTGCGATGTCTCTAAAAAGAAATCATGTGTCCCACAAAGACACTCACTAGCTCACGGTCCTGCACTAAAAAACCATACTCATATCAAATGCACACAAATCTCACACAAAGCTCACACAAAATTCACACAAAACTCACACAAAGCCCACACAAAACTGGACCATCAAGTCCAAGGCAATCTCTGAAATCCCTACTCAAGCCAACCTACTAAACTAGTAGTATATCATGTATGTACAGTCGACCGAAACACGTGTTAAATCCACTCACCAACTACATACAATACACGGCTCGGTCCTGAAGTCTCGGGTCAAAACTCTTAATGTACAAGTCGTGAGGCGTACATGTCCATGCCCTGAAGTCTTCAAGGTAGAAGATAGTAATTTGGAACGTGCCCAACAACCTATCTCCCATAACAATCAACTCATCCTCATCGACCCTCTCTCTGATCTCATAGTCTGGCACCTCATGTATCTTGTGGTCATGTAATCTGTCACTCATCCTCCCTCAGCTCCAGGCCTAGCCTGTCATACACAACTCTCCTAGCACCATGACGTCTTGTTGGAAGACAAGCGCCATACATATCCCTGACTATCCCCTGTCCATCGAACTGCACGACTCGCCTCCTGAGGTCAATCTGGAAGGCGGGGCAAACAACTCTATCGTGCACTCCTCTATCACACCATGAGCACATATTACCTGTACAACTGCCCTCTACCTTCGCCTTTTTAGGCTTGGGTAAGATCTGAGTCTGTACCCTCTCGAGTCGGATTGTCACATCATGTACGGCTCTGTCGACTGTATCAGGACTCAACATCCTCAAGGCTCTCTCAGTCGTCGCCTCCTCGTCACATCTCTCAGACCCTGAAGAAAGGAGGTGCATTATCCATCAACCCCAAAACTGGAGATGGTGTAAGCAGCAGAGTCGTCGGCAGTACTGTTGCTGACCCGCTCGTGTCCTCCTGTGGCATGACATCTCGTAGCTCTGAAACTCTCTCTCGCTCGTCATGTCTGCCACCCAATCCTCGCCATGCATCCCTCTGAACCGCCAACTCTGAGGGAGGGACCCAGTCCAAACCTCGTACCTCTGCCTCTCTCCTCCTCTCGATCTCGTCTGGCTCAAGCATGAGCTTGTCGACGACTGCTGCCTCCTCACATGTCATCCCCATAGCCCCAAGTGGCTCCGCTGTCGGTGAGTCTCGCCGTGGGATATCCAGTCTCACTCCACCTGGCTCTACCTCATGAGAGACATGTGCCTGTCCAATAGGAATCTGCTGCTCCTCAGTTCTCCTCCCGTCGACCACATCTGTCGTGGCCTGACGCCTCCGACTCTCTTCTAGGTCAGTAATCCTCTGCTCGAGCCTCGAGGTAGACTGTCTTGCCTGCTCGGCGCGGTGACAAGATCCCGTACCGTGTCCCTCAGTCCTTTGTTCTCCCGCTCCAGAGCACCGATCCTCTGTACTGCACCCTGAAGCACCTCTCCTCGTGCAACCTCGGTCTGCGTGAGTCTCCTGACATGCTCCATCACTCCCACCAACTCTCGCATTGAGGCATCAGACAACAATCTCGCCTGAAGCCCCTCCTCCGCCTGCGTACGCTCGCCCTCAGGCATAGACTCCTCTCCTGTCCGTCTCCTCATCCTAACCTCCTCCTGCAATCCGGCTCATCCTCATAGAAGAGTCTCTGTGTCTGCTCCTCAGTCTCTCGCCGTAACCTGACAAGAGTCGATACCTGGCTCTCCAACTGAGATGATCGCACGGTCTCAAGGACAACCCTGCGCTCGAGCCTATCTCTATCTGTCGCAGGTGGCTCATACTCCCTGAGCACCCTCTGAACCTGGGCTCGCCAATCACTCTCCTCTCTCTCCTGAATCCTGAGGACCGCCTCGGCCTCCTCTAGAGTCTGGACCTCCTTCCCCTCAACAAATGTACGGAGATCACTCACCACCTCTCTCTGTGCATCGTGCTCCATCTGTCTGTCGCAACTCAACTCAAAGGATCGGATGGCAACTCTCCTCGTGTAATCCCGAACCTGCTCTATCACCTGTCGAGGTGCTACGAGGCCACTACCAATATAGTTCCTCTGCAAGGTTAAGTCGTCATACAGTACCCTGAGCCCACCAGTGGTCTGATCAACCGACAAGTGTGGTCTCGCGGCCTAGCCCAGTCGCTCAAAAGCCAGCCAGCCTAGAAAAAGTAATGATGGCATCCGTCCATCTCCTCGGCTAGCCATGCATCCCTCCGGACAGGCTCGTGACCTATCGGCCCCCAAGACTCCGGCAAGCTCTCCTCCTCATGAGTCGGAGATGTGTCCTGGGTATGCTCCGTGCCTACCTCAATGTGCTCCCTCATACTGGCCTTAGCCTGATCACCATCTCGTCGTGGAGTATCCCCAAAGTCTAGTGGTGACGTCTCCACTCGTTGGGTCTGCATGTCCTCTATGAGACCCTCTCTATCTAGCCCTAAGACCTCGGCCTCAACTCGCTCTGTCTCCATGTCCATGGGCGAGGGTTGGGATACCTCCTGTCGCATCTGCATCCTAGGAGACTCCATGTCATATAGTTGGGCAGTCAATGAACCCTCAGGTTCAGTTGGCTGCTCAGCCAATCGACTCTCATTCAGTAACGACGATCCATCCAATGATGAGGGTCCCATCGCACCTCTCTCATCATCCTCCACTGCCGGCTCTGACCGAGGACCGAGACTGGACCCTCTGCCCATCATACCCTAGCCCATCATGCATCGGCGTCGTCTCTCGCGGCCACTCAAGCTGAGGCTCCTCGTGCTCCTGCATCGGTCCTATAGTGGCATGCCCTATCATAAGCGGTAGCTCCCTTTGTGGAAGATATAGTGCCATGTCCCGTGTGTCTCTCCATCGATAAGGTATCTCCGATGCAGTATCGGGAACCACTCCCTCCATGGTATCTGTCTCTGTAGGCCAACCGAAGCAATCGTCAACACAAGCTGCAGGGAAGTCTCCTCCCCATCCCGTATGGGTGTAGGTGGAGTAGTCCGATCTGTCTCATGCGCACCATGGTCTCTAATCCCTATCTCAGTCGGACATGTCTCTGGCGCTGACACTGTCCCAATCTCTTGAGTAGATAAGACACTCTGTCTCTGAGACCCTACTAACAAGAGCTCCTCCCCCACATCACATGTCGGGAGGGTCCTCCCAATATCAACCGTCAACATGTGATCACTCTCCTCTATGCCATCCCTTTTATCCTGACGTCCTCGACGCCTGCCTGTCCTCGGTCTGCGTGGGATCTCTGGCTGCTCACTCTCTCTCTGCTGCTGTCGCAATCGCCCCTCATCACCCTCATCCCTCTCTAGCTGTGCTCGCGGGCGCATCCTGAGCTCCGGGATGTAATTCCCAACCTCTCTGTACAGCCCGCATCGTCTGTCAACGGTGAACGCCTCTCTAAGCGTCGCTATAAGCTCCGCCCAAGTCTGCGCTGTGTGTGACATGGTACTCACCTCATGTCTAAGATCCGGGACAACCCAGTGCCGTACCTGCCTAACCCTCTGCGCCTCGGTCCATCTCTGCCCATCCCCAAAAATGACGAAAATCCCCAAAAATGACGAAAATCTCCAGGAACTCATCCAGGTTAGCCCCGTCAAACCGCATGGGCCTACCCTGTCGATCAATGGGCTGAGGCCGCAATCTCAGCATCCGTCTGGCGAACTGCCTCCAATCCAATGACTCTCTCACGATCTGAGTCACACGCTCCTCATAGTTGCCCGTACGCCAGACCCTCTCAGTCATCTGAGCAAAATCTAACTGAAGGATCCAAACCTGCCTAACTAACCCGTCAAAAAATGAAAATACATGTCCACCCCCGTAACGGAATGGGTCCAGTATCAAAGACGTGGTTCGTCGCTCATCCTCCTGTCCCGCCATCCTCCCGCCCCTCGAAATAATGACCAACTTCGAAAAACCAACCCTGCACAAATAAGAAGGACGGACGATAGAGGAAACAGAAGTAAGCACAGGAGAGGAATGAGGAATGCCTATACTGACTGACCCAAGCAGATCTCTCATACCCTCAGACGACTGACCTGACTCATGAACTAAACTCATACTAAGACTTATCTACATACTAACATACAATCCTATCGTATCACTAATGCAGAGTATCACTTAACAAGACGAGGAATCATATACTATTTCTACTCGCGGTGTTCTTCTGTCACTCTTACCTTAGTCTCGAGCCTTGAACTTTTTCAGTTTCGACCCCGAGACCCAATCTCTCCACGGCGTGCAGTTAAGTTTTTCAATCTCGTAAGCTCTATGCTGCCCACACCGTCTAATGCGATATGGGCCTAACCACCACTTGTCCAACTTGCGCGACCACTGCTTCTCTAGCGATGAGTCATACAGCAGCACCACGTCTCCGACTTCCAATGGCTCCTTCCTGACTCGTAGAAGGAGATCCCACCTCTCCTTGTCCTCCAGTCGATTGTCCGATACTCGATCTGCGGCTTCCTGGATCCTCTCTTCTGCGATGCCAACTTGTCTGGCCCGCAAATCCAGCAATTCCTCGAAGGACAAGGTGCTTTCCATATCCTGCCTCCTCCATGTCTTCAGAAAGCTCTCTATCGGGAGGGTGGCATGCCTTCCATACCATAGCGTTGCTGGCGCGTACTTCGTGGATCTCTTAATCGTAATATTTTCGACGAAGAATGTCGCGCGCAGATGCTTAGGCCACTGATTCTCCCTGCCGTTCGTCCATTTCGCCAGTAGATTCGTGATGGTGGTATGCACTCTCTCAATTGGTGCATTCGCTTGCGGATGTGCCCTAGTCGTGTAGCTGGCTTGTACGCCATATTCTTGCAACAAGGTTCGCACTTCTCCACAAGTGAACTCTGACCCCCTGTCCATCACGAATTCCACTACGAAAGGATATCTCAGGAAATACTCGGAGATGCACAAAGCCAATGTTTCGCCCGTCTTACTGCGAATGACTCGCCCATCAACAAACCCCGTAAGATTGTCCCGCCCGTCGAAGATGTAATTGTAGCCGCCCACTCCTTGAGGCATTGCCAGTAGGTCCAGATGGACCACTGCTCCTGCATCTCGCACAATCCGCGGGTGCAATGACTCTTTATACATAGTCGACGCCCTTATTTGACATGGAACGCACGACTCGCAATACTTGCGAATCATCTCGCTCATTCCTTCCCAATAATAAAGCTCAAGCGTCTTCGCATATGTCAAGGCAAATGCTCTGTGACCACCTGCGGGCCCATCATGAAGTGCAGTTATAACGTCTATCTGACGATTTCGGCCGCAGATCACCCTCCTCGGGTTGCCAACCTCGTTTTTGATGAAAAGGTGTCCATCCCGGACTAAAAAGCGAGGACGCATCTCGAGTACGTTCTTAGTTGCTTCTCTCTCTCTGATCTCACATGAGAGAAGCAAACCTAGTTCACGGTAGACGCCTTCGTACTCATCTGCGCGAAAAGCGTCCGTTATCTCTCCTTCATCAAACTCGTCTTCTTCCATATCTCTAACAGGGTCTTGACTCCCTTCTCCATCCTCGTGCACTTGGACAATTGAGTTGACGAGGAAACTGACATCTGCCGCATACCTTGCTTGAGCGTCGACTGAGTAAGCTCCACTTTCTATGGCCATCGGATCTTCTCCTACTCGGAAGGTCTCTGCCAATGCCAGCTTAGCCATCCACTCAACATCCTTCCCTCCTCAAGGATCCTCTTCCACGAAGTCCTTGAGATCTATATCCGCTCGCTTCACGTATCCTGCAGGAGCAAGAAAAGCAGATTGTCCTTGCACAATGACTCCACTGATCCCAATGACATGTGCATTGATATGGAGTTTCACGTCCTCCTCCTCATCGAGAAATGCATCTGCCGGAGGTATATCCTAATTAACTCCATCGTCGGACTTATCCCAATTGATCCGACTAAGCCCGTCAGCCCGGTTCTTATTCCCAGGTATGCGTTCCAACTCAAAGTCAAACATCCACACATACGTGAGCCATCTGGCAATAATTGGGTCTGACGGTGCGTAGTTCTTTAATGAACCGGCCAATGCGGTCGGATCGACTCTCAGCACAAACCTCCTTCCGAAAAGGTAGTTGCGGAACACCCTTAGATAGTGGAGAACTGCAAGTGTCTCCCGCTTGAACTGTGAGTAGTTTCTCTCAGTGCCATTCAAGGTTCGACTCTCGAACCTCGAAGGCCTCTCCTCGCCATTTACATCAGCTTGGATCAGAATGTCACCCAGAGTTGTAGGCCCTGCATCGGTTTCTACGATGAAAGGATGTTTTGGCGTTGCTTCGAAGTCAGGAACTCCCAACACCAGACCACCTTCTCTGAACTCCCTTTTCAAACTACTTACAACTCCTTCCTGCTTCTCATCCCATTCTCATTTTTGATCTTTCCTGACAAGCTTCCTCAACTGCTCTGTCTTTTCAGCGAAGTTCTTGATGAAAACTCGCCAAAAGCCACATGTCCCCAGGAAACTACGAATTTCACTAACAGATTCGAATGGCACCGGCCATTCGAGTATCTTGTTAGTTTTCTTGATGTCGGGGCGACGACCGCTCTCGTTACATACGAAGCCTAATATGCTTGTCTTCCGCATACGGTGTTTCGACTTCAGTCCGCTCGCGGTAAGGTTGTAATCCCTCAGAATGTCAAGAATCCAAGCAATATCTTGTATATGATCCCAGACAAATTTCCTTACCCCAGGCATAACTTTCGTCTCATCCTTCCTCTTCCGCCCTTTCACGGCCAAATCGTCAATGTATGGTTGCGTAAGATGTGGACTAACCGTCTGCATAACGCGAACCATATGCTTCTGCACCATCGCCACAACATTCGTCCACCCTTGTGGCGCCACGTTCATATGGATTAGTCATTTTGGTGTATGCATCACAGTCATAGGTTTATCAGGTGGATACAGCGGGAACTGATCGTACCCCGAGTACAAGTCTATCAAGGAAATGATAGGCCTGCCAGCACAAGATTCTGTCAGCGCATCTGCGTTCGGCAAACCTCCCACATCTCGTATCGTTACCGCATTCAGGCGCTGAAGGTCCTGCTCCCACCTCAGGGTACCGTTCGGCTTGATAAAGCAGAACTTTGGTGATGCGTAAGACCCACTTGAATAGTCGGCTACATGAGAATGAATCTTGTCATCCAAGTAGTCGACTACTCTCCGTTCCTCTGCCGGATTAGGATAGCGTGGCCCTCGCAAATTTCATGGTACATGAGGCACAGTGTGGATCCGAATCATCGGAACTTTATCTACATCAAGGCGTCCGCGCTCATCATCGTCAAACACATATGCGCGATGCCGCTCCTTCATTACCGCTACCATAAGGGCCTTCTCTTGTGGAGTAAGGAATCCTGGCTCTCCTATTATCAGGTCTCTCCCGTTCCTCTCATTGATACGGCACGACCCATGTTCTGCATCCTCTTTCATTCGCCGTATCAATTCACGTTCCTGCTCATAGTAGAACTCTTCTTCCGCAGTTATGAGGACAGGAACGAGATGACTCTTCTCAGTCACGCGTTTGTACCTTCTTTTGGAACCCTGCTTAAGCCCACCCCTAATCGTATCAAAGGCTGGCTTGCAGCACGACTCTGAGGTACCCCCGACTCACTTGTCCTTGCCGGTAATCGATATACGAGCTCCACTTCTCCCTCGCCGGAATCTTCCACTATTCTTTCTCTCAAAGGCTCTACAGCAATGGGATCCGCCATCCCATATGACGACACTATCTCCATAGCATCGTTGATATTGGTTAGGCTTAAGCACATCTCGTCAGTAGGCTCACATTCCTCTTCGTCTTCACCCATTTATCTCCTCCTCTCCCCTTCAGATTCCTCAAAGGTATAGGAACCTGGGTTCGGCCTATTCCTCAAGCTACGAGGTCCTGTATTGTGACAGGTGATAATCTCGTAGTTGCCGCAAACTGGATCACTTAGGTTGACATACATTGTGTCGTCATACTTGTTAAGTATCATTGATTCAGTGCGGCAAAGGAATGACCTTCCCAGCAGGAGAGGATGGTCCAAATCGGGCATAACGAAGAAGCAGGACCGCACCTTCACTTTCCCGATTTCAATCACCACATTCGATGCCGTCCCAGTAAAAGGAGTTCTCCCACTTGCGTCATAGAGGAATCCTGAGTCCATTCGATCGATGTCCATCCCCAAGCGGAGTGCGTCAGATTCCTTGATGATATTCATCTCCGCTCCTGTATCTAGCATTCCGCTACACGGCTTACCCTTTATACTCAGGTTCACACTCCCAGTCCCGACCGATTTCCAATCCATTTCCGTCCCAGAAACCGCCCAATGAGCCTCGGCAGGGATGAGATCTCCTAGTCGCACGCTCACCACCCTTCGACAAGAGAGTCGTGTTTTGAATCCTTCCCTAAGCTTAGGCGCAGAGGCGAGGATATCCTTTAAGTTAAGCAGGTCATTATGCCCTTCCAGAAGCCTATCAACCAAGGCTTCAAAATCCAGGCCATCTTCCAATGGTACTCCATATTTTTGTTTTCGCGAGCCTTCTCCTTTTGCTGCTCTTTCTGACCTATCTTCCGGCTTCCTCTTCTTTGCACGTTGAGCAGCTTGTTCTTCCTCTTCCTTCCTTAGCCGCTCATCTTCCTCATCCTCTTTGCCTTTATCCCCCACATTGATAACTGACTCCTTCTCACGAGGTTGACTTTCGCTTGGAGGTTCCTGACTGCTACTGGGATTTCCTTTCTTACTTCTCGTGCATACTGCTTGCGGGAATGTGGGTTGCCCTCGAGGAGGTCGGAATGTAATGCCTGATCCCGGGGTTGATCCCAAGGTCTGACGAGCCAGTTTGACACTCGATGGCCCTATTTCTGAGCCTAGTAAGTAAACCATTGGTTTCGCCACCTCGTCGCAAATGGACCTCATTTTCAAATTCAACCTCTGCATCTTCTCCACGAGGTCTTCCATTCGCTCCATGGTATCTATGGTCCTTCCTTGGCAATACGATTCTTCTTCCTCCTCCTCTTCTATCACGACTGACTCTTCCCTCCTGATGTCCTCTTCGGACTCATTATTGGCCAGTTCCTCCACTTTTATCGTTGACCTGACATTTTCCTCTTGCCAGAGTCGGAACATGGTCAGTGGTGGCGGACCTAGTTCGGCTCGACGAAGCGCCTCCTTGCGCATACCACCTGCAATGTTAGGGTCAATATATTTCCCATGCATATCATAGACATCTCCGTCCATGTTCGTCGAGATAAGGCCATTTCCCTCATCTACTTTCCGAATTTGGCAAAACCTGAAGCTATGCCCTTTTAGTGCGCAATGATGGCGAATGACATTTCTCCAATCGAACCTTGGCCTATCATTTCCGCCTTGCCCATTCCAATTGACTCCACGTCCGCCCCCTTGACCGCCTTGTCCACCATTACTGTTACCCTATCCGCGGCCTCCATTGCCTCGGCCCTGATTGCTCTGCCCGTTACCTCCCTGGTTCTGACCTTGTCCTTGACCCGCTGCTTGACCGGGTTGGTTGACTTGGGGCGGGGGTGCTTGCTGCTGCTGTTGGCCCCCCCCTTGCTGATTCACTCCTTGAGCCGGCGCATCGGGGTATACTCCTGCAGCATGCATAGTCGGCCCTCCCACAGGCGGCCCGGCTTGGTTGTAAAACAGCCATGGGCCATATGGACTATACCCCGACCAAACAGGAGGAATGGTCCCTGGCCAAGGTCCAACCGGCGCTGGTCCCTGTGGTGGTGACGCACTCGTGCTTGCCTGATTGGCATTTACTTGGGCTGGCGCGACGACTTGTACTTCTGTATTCTTCCCCGAACCTTGACCACCTAAGGCCTGGTTCCTCGTCTTTCTCTGACTTTTTGTCAGCTTCACTGGTTCTTTTTCCTCATCGTCATCATCATCTTCCACCTGCTCCACCACCTTTTTCGCAGCTTTTGCCTGAGGCTGAGTCACTATCAAAACCTGTTTCCCTGCCGCCTTCTGTTGGTCGGCTTGGTACTTGGCTATTCCATCCGCAATAAGTTGTTGAAGGTTGATACCTGCTCCTTCAGTAACAACTCGGGCCTTTCGCTTATGCCGTTGTTGTTTTATCTGAAACTAGTATACCTGGTCCAACTCCCCATCTGCCAAGCTTTGCTTCACCGTCTCCCAAGTCAACTTCCTCCCTATGGCCCCTCTTCTGGTTAGGGAAACACTCTCGCATTCCGTGAAGTTGCTTAGGAAGATGGCACATTGGGACTCCTCGGCCAACCCTGAAACCTTCTTCGCCATCTTCTCGAAAGTCGTCGCGAAGGCACCCACTGTCGTGAAATCAGACCTCTGTAGCCTTTCCAAGTCCTTCATCGTAAGGAGGTTATCTCACAACTGATACCGCCTCTGCATTTCTGCCTCAAAGTTCTCCCAATTTCATGCGGCCTCAGTTGCTACTCGCATAACTTCCGGCCGCATCTCCCACCAGACGTACTTAGAGATTTGACGAAATTTTTCTTCTTCCGTCATCTCGTCAGTAATTTGCTCGAGCAACTCAAGCCACTCTAACACCTTATCTCCTTTGAAGTGGAAGATTGGAACCTTAGGGATGTTGGATCGCGTCACCGCGCGCCCATCCAGTAGAGCAACCAGTTGACCGAACGTAACCGACCGCTGGCCCGCGCCATCGGCCTGATTGAGTTCATCGCCCGCCATATCGTTCTTCGACAATCAGTTCCCTGTCAATATACAACACTTATACATGGTCAACCTAATTACTTTAACAAACCTTTATAGCTAGTCCAACCTCAACCTTAAGAGGTTGTGTCCTACTACTAAATTCAAACGTTCGACACTCATACACAAGCATCCACACCTTCATATAATCATACTACGAATTCGTCCACTCCACACCAACTCTTAATACTTAGCGTTCCTAACCATGACAGTGAGGCCCCTCTTTGGGCCTGATAAGATTCTTAAGGACATTTCCTTAAGTCATGACGGAAATATCAAAGTCAAAAACATACTATATCATTTCCCTAATCACAAAAAAAACAAAAGTGTCGTTTTGCCTGGATCATCGTTCTGCACTAAACCCAAGTCCGTTCACTATGGACCTCGGTAGGCAGCCGAGATCCCCGACAACGGCGCCACCTGTCGTGCGCACGGTCCCCGTTGGGGGAACCTTCCCGGCCTCGTCACGCAGGATTGGCAGTATTCGCAAGTCGCTTCATGGAAAGGGAAGCGGCAGAGCCGCTCCGGCCGAATGCGCCAGTTGTCCCTACGACAGGAAAGGGTCTCGCGAGGTACAACTTACCTCCACCTGCGGAAGCTGTCACCATCCCTTGGGTGGGCGTATCCTCGCCGAGCTACTGAACCACACACGAAAACTTTTACTTGCAATCACGGAGGTGGCCCAGTCGAGGGTGTTTCTCGTATGCTGTAGCATAGGGGGTACGCACGGTCCACGCCTAGCTCGGACCTGTACACGAACCATCACGCTGGGGCGCTGATCTCCCACGTGCGATTCAGCGTCGGTCGACTAGGACATCCTAAATCAACCACGCGATACACGATAAAGCAACGTAACCCATACAAGCAAATTAGCCTAGTCCCTTTTTCATACGTCCTGACCCATAACTCAGAACTGCCAATGTGTCTGAGCGAGGTATGCGCATAGTTACATGAAAAGAATGTCACTGCCATGGGAACCATAACGTTCAGTCATGTGTTCTCACTTAATCTACTATCACGGCGACGCTTCATGTGTTACCCACATCCGTTCAACCTCCCATGGGTTTCGGGGTTGCGTACGACACTCAAGTGTCGAAAGCGAAATATCGTGAAGGGTTTCTCCTTCACGATATTGCACATCTGAAGGATAAGTCGTTCGGCCCTTGCGTCACCCGTGTTTTTTAGGCAGTGGGTGAGGATAAGCAAGGGGCGCAGGTCCGCCTCAAGGGGGAAACCTTTTTGTGCTGGATCGGAGTCTGGGACGTCTTGGACAAAGACCTCGAATTCCAGGGTCAGGACCAACGTCCATTTAATAATCTTAAAAGCAAGACCCCTTTTGAGACGGGGTACGCTCGTCCTTCCCATGCGCAAGGAAAATACGAGTACTCACGGGTTGGCGAGCAATTCGCCGTACCCAAGCTAAGTCTCGGTCCGATCTAAGGTCGAGCGCTAAACCTTGCGCTCGGCTACTCCTGCTTGTTTGCTAGATGCACACGGCAGGAGTAAAATAAGAGAAAGAAAATGGCGAGGGAAATCAACGAGAGTCATTCTCATAGCCATAGTTGAACCTTGTCACTCACACCCTGCACTCATTCATTCATATCACTCTCAAATCCAGGAGCGAGTACTCGCTCCCATACATACATGCACACACATGAAACCCAATGAAGACTCACATCCAAAATGCCACACGTGGTCAACTCCTTTGCTCCCAGGCTCATGTCCCACACGCCCGTTTCCGACCCCATTCAACAAAGGCATATCCGCCTATCCCGATTCACACAGCTTTTGCATGGCCATTCAAGAGAGGTTCCAAGGATAGGTTTTATTTCATACGGAAATGCCTTTCGCCTACAGGGTCACAGACATCTGGGCGTGGGTATCACAGTGGGTAGGAGTTGAGTCGCAAACCGACGTGCTATCAGGTGATAGCAGAAGTTGATGAAGCTCAAGACTTCGAAGAAACTCTCGCAGGTAGCAATGACCTGCGCCACAATAATCAAGGCAGGCATCGCCTGTCGAGTTAACGGAGTTCAACTCCGTAACACACTCTAAGCTTACTTAGCAGCAGCGTCCGGTAACGATATAAAAATCCTGAAAATTTCTGCAGCACTTCTTTTAGGGAAGTGTGCTCGAAGAATATTTACTATACCAAATCTAAAAAGAAAAACTCGTGACTATGAAAATCATCTGAAATTAAACTAACTTTTTGGTTTCAGTAGAAATTTCAGCAGCACTTCCTTTAGAAAGGAAGACTTCCAAAATTTCAACTGTCCCCAAAGACTAAACTATACCATATCCTAGCTGACATCYCAAAACCTTGGCTAACTTTGATGATTCAACAGAAATTTYGGCAGCATTTCCCCTMGGAAAGGAGGCTCCCAGAATTTATACTAATTCAAAGGCTAGYCGAAGTCCTATCAAAACAAACATACATGAAAAAAGACAAATGCGAACATAAAAGTGAACATCTACCTGCCTATCGCTCAAGCATAAGGCGAACACTAACAGACTACCCTATAACGCAGAAGACAAGCATAGCATTGAGCAAAAGACAAGGCATTGCCAACAGGTATGTCAAGTCAATAACACATTCAACTAATTCAAAACAAGGATTTGTTTACCCAAACTTTTCATCTTTCGTTTGTCCTTATCACAAAAACATGAGTCCTGTATCTTATTTAGTTAATTTTTACTTTCCAGGTTGTTCTCAGTCAAACCCCATGCAATCACCAATACACTAGCCTGGACTATTCTCACAAGGAGAAAAGTCAACCCTTTTTCAGCAAGCAAAAATCGATTGACTTAGCAAGGCGACCGGATAAGTCTGAGAACCTCATTTCAAACCCCAGTTCAATGTCTTAGGCAATACGAGCAAGGCGACGGGATCAGTCTGAAAGACCTCGTCTCCAGCCCCAGTTCAATGTCTTACGCAATACGAGCAAGGCGAACGGATCAGTCTTAAAGACCTCGTCTCCAGCCCCAGTTCAATGTCTTAGGCAATGCGAGCAAGGCGACCGGATCAGTCTGGAGGACCTCATTTCCAGCCCCAGTTCAATGTCTTAGGCAAAACAGCAAGGTGACCGGATCAGTCTGGAGGACCTCATTTCCAGCCCCAGTTCAATGTCTTAGGCAAAACAGCAAGGTGACCGGATCTGTCAGGAGGACCTCATTTCCAGCCCCAGTTCAATGTCTTAGGCAATACGAGCAAGGCGACCGGATCAGTCTGGAGGACCTCAATTTCAGCCCCAGTTCAATGTCTTTGGCAAAACAACAAGGCGACCGGATCAGTCTGGAGGACCTCATTTCCAGCCCTAGTTCAATGTCTTAGGCAAAACAGTAAGGCGACCGGACCAGTCTGAAGAACCT